ACAGTGTATGAACTAAGTGGAACACAGTGGAAAGGTCTAGTTTCTCTGTACCTGGAGTCCTAGGAAATGGGAGAGTGGAACAGTAATAAGTATTACTAGGAAAGGACTAGCCAGAAAATAGCTTTTCTTTAAAAATAGTTTTTGTTAACTCTGAACTTGAAGCAGGATAAAGGAAATTCGGTGTACTTCATTCAGGTATAGCATTACTAGCATTACCACACTATAAAAATCAAAGCCAAATAGCCACAGGGAGTTGGTATATACTTGCCTTTTCCTCACTGCATACAGAAGCTGGAAACAGGTGAAATATCTTTAGTCTTCCTTCCTTCCCTCCTTCCCTCCCTCCTTATTTATTTGTGTGTGTGTGTGTGTGTGTGTGTGTGTGTGTGTGCGCGTGCGCGCGCACGCACGCACGCACACCTGTGGAAAGATCAGAGGACAACCTGTAAGAGTTAGCTGTGTCTACAATATAGATTCTGGTGCTCAAACTCAAGTCACCAGATTTGGTAGCAAAGCACCTTTACCTGTTAAGCCACCCTGGCAAAAATTATGCTTTTAAAGTGCTTTGGAAAAAATTTTTAGAAAACACCAGTATTGTCTTACCACATTTATAGTACATCTAAAAATAAATTCAATGGGGCTGGAGTGACCACTCAGTGCCCTTCAAGAGGACCTGGATTCCATTCCCAACACCCACATGGTGACTGACAACTGACCATAACTAATTCCAGGGGAAACAACATCCTACTCTGGATTTTGTGCATATTACATGCATGTGGTAAATGGGCATATATGCAAGCAAAACCACCTGTATGCTTTACATTTTTTTTAAAAAAAATTAAAGAGTAAAGAGGAAAAAATAAATTACATGATAGTAACACAAAGGTCACAGGGTGTAAAATAGTAGTAGGAGATAGTTCTGACCTTCTGTTAATACTTACAGATTATAAAAATACTCCTTTAAAGTAAAAGCCCCAGGAAAGCATATTGCAATTGCAGTAGAATGTGGCTCAGTAGAAGACTCTGGAGTGTAGAATGCTCACTTAACATGCACTTAGCCATGGGTTTGATCCCTAGCACAAAAAACAAAATCCAGTAGAATGTAATGATGAGCAGTGATTTTTTTTTTAAAACAAACTAAAAAGAGGACAAAAGAATAGATGGGGAAAACAGCAAGTAAATGAGATGATAAACCTAGCAGTGGTGGATACTTTAACCCCAGCACTCAGGAGGCAGAGACAGGTGGTTCTCTTGAGTTTGAGGCCAGCCTGGTCTACACAGTGAGTACTAGGATAGCCAGGACTACACAGAGAAACCAGATCTCAGAAAAAGAGGAGGAGAGGGAGTGTAGAGGAGGAAGAGGAATAGTTAAACCTTTACCCATAATTACATTGTGTGTAAATGCACTAAATATTTCAGTTAATAGATAAAAACCAGATTTTAAAAATATGCATAAACACATACCTCTAATACACTTTGATCACTCCTCATATTTCTTTTGAGGCAAAGTCTTTCATTGGACCTAAGGCTCATATATTTTTTTCCTCTTGGCTAAGCTAGAAATGAGCAGACCCCAGAAATCCTTCTGTTTCTGCCTCACCCCTCATCCCTGCCCTTGGAGCTGGTACAAGTACGCTTTGACTACCCAGTTTATTACATGAATGCTGGAATCCCAATTCTGGATGGTCCTCATGACTTTGTAGTGCTCTTAACCATTGAGCTATCATTCCAGCTCCTATAGTAAGTACTATTTTTAAGAGATTCACTTTAAATATATAAGCTGTAAAAAAAGATTAAAATTTAGAGATTGGAAAGAGATATACGATGCAAAATACCAGCCAAAAGAAAACCTGTGAGCTTCAAGGCAAGAAATACTACAAAAATGAGACAAAGTTCAATGAATATTGATAAAAGAAAGGGTCAGTTGAACAGGGAAACATAAAAGTCCAAATGTTTAACTAACTACATGTCTGTAAATATACAGTGCATAAATAAACATTCAAATAAGCAGGATATAAACAGTTTGTAGATTTTTTTTTCTTTTGGCAGAGGAAGTGCTAGGGATTGGACCTAGGGTCAGGTATGCGCTAAGCCAGCACTCTCCCACTGAGCTACCATTTGAGCCCCCAGATTCCCAAGCTTCAAAAGAGGAAAAGATTATATATTGTCCATCTTTGATTACTGAAGAGGATTAACATATAGCATCAACCAACTACTACTATTTTACCAAAATAATGTCAACAAATATAAGCAATAATGAAATACTTCGTTGACAGAGTGCAAAGCCATTATTACTATCTGTTTTAAGTATGAAGTGTTACAGTCTTTCATCTTCTTATTGAAGAGCAGGCATGAAAGAAATGACTTCCTGCCATACTCCAGAGTTAATGTCTTACTCAGAATCTTAGAAGTGCTTCTGAGGAAGTGATTATTTTTCTGAAGATTGAGGGGAGGTCATTTCTGCCATGCTTTACTTTTAAATTTGTTGCCATAAAACTCTGAATAGTTCTGATTATCAAAAAATTCTGAAGGGTCAAATCTTGAATGAAATTTATTAGGAAAGAGGACTGAAGTATAATTCAGTAGTAGAGCATGTGTTTAGTATACGTAAGACCCTGGGTTCAGAGACTGGAGAGATAGCTTAACAGTGGTAAAGAGTACACTACTCTGATAGAGAACTGGAGCTCATATCCAACTTCCACATTATACAAGACACAACTGCCTGTAAGTTCAGCTCCAAGAGTGCCAATGCCCCATATATACTCTGCAAGTTCTTGTTCTTTGCCTCTCTTCTTCTCCCCATCCTTTCCTCTTCTCCTCTTCTCCCATACACATACACACACATACACACACACACACACTTACACACACTTAAAAATACAACAGATCTTGTAAAAGTATAAGGCCCTGGGTTCTATCTCCAGTACCCCCACACCCCAAAAGGAGAAGTGATTGGTACTTAAAGTTGGTATTGTAAGTTTAGGCTTATTTAGACTAATTAATGTTAGTCTCTTAACTCCAAAAGCTGTAGGCATATATGATCAATAGCAAAAGGTTTCCAGTTTAAAGACCCTCAGAGAGGACCTTCCCTCAGGAGGAGACCCCTGAGCCAAAGGAACAATCCGAGACCACTGGCTGCAAACTGCAAGAGGTTTTTTATTGAGAGTACACTGGTACCTGCGGGTGTCAGAGTCTCTTTGGAAGACTTGCACGCCCTCAGGCTGGGCAGGGGGTCTTTTATATGGAAATGTGCGGCAGAAGCATGCTGGATACAGGATGAGGTGAGGGTTTCACTTGGGGACAAGCTCCTCGGGGACATGAAGATATGATAATAGCTGAGTTGGCTCTATCTAGGGCACATGTAGTTTTTCCCAGAACTTTTTGTTCCCCTCCTAGGCCTGATGTCTGACCATAGATATCCTGTTTGGCAGCCTAGGAGTACCGACTTTACCTTGAACTTATACTCGTTTGTGTGAAAGCCTTGCAAAATGGCATTACAGAAGCTAAGCTGGGGTCTTTCACAGTTACAGTATGGTTTCATTGAATGTTAAATATTTAGTCATTTTTGCATGTGTCTAACAACTTCTGGCTTTATTTCTGTAGCAGAAAATATGTTGGATTTCACTAAAAAGTGATATGTTCTTTGATGAAAACATTGTCTTTCAATTTTTAAGACTTAAGTATTTTGAGGAATCAGTTATTCTTTAGAAGGTCATAAATAAAAATGGAAATAGTTTTTTATCATATTCCATAGGGTTTTTTTTTTATCATATTCCATTGTTTTAAAGCAGTCATAGTCAGTGAACAATCTCACTGCTGGTAAGGGTAAGGCTGGCAGTGAAGGTGATAATGGGATGTGGGAAAGAGTCAAGGTTTTGCTGTATTAGTTGTTTTATATGTTGCTAGAATAAAACACCTGAGTTAAGGAAGGAGGGAGGGAGGAAGGAAGGAAGGGCGGGCTTATTTTAGCTCACAGTTGAAGGTACTATCCTATCATAGAGTCATAACTGTAGAAGTGTAACATTGTGTCTAGTCAAGAAGCAAAGAGAGATGAATGCTGGTGTTCAGCTTTCTTCTTTATATTCAGTCCAAGACCCCAGCTCATAGAATGGTACTACCGACAGTTAAGTGGGTCTTCCCACCTCAAATAACCTACCCTAGATAATCCTTCCTAGGTATTTCTAGAGACTATCTTAATCTAGATAATCCTTGACAGCCATGCTGACATTTTCTCCTAGATGATTATACCATCACAGTCAGTGTCTAGAAGAGAAATTTAGGAAGAGTCCACTTGCTAGCTTGGGACAGTGCACATGGGAAGGAATTTAAAAAAGAATAGAAGAAACTGAATTGTGTAATAAGACAAATCCAAATATGTGATATAGATAAGGAAACTCAGAGTAGTGAAATAGTTATGTGGTTAGTATACACAAAAATAAAGCTAGAATTCTCTCCTAATTTAGTTTCAATTCCTTATTAATTAAAGTTGGGGTTATTAAATGGTAATAGAAAATACCAATCACCCTAAATTCTCAAATTTAGTTGGCACATGAAGATACTGTGTTATAAGTAAAAGTTTAAGTGGAATGAATAATTGGTCATATATTAAAATATAAATTATCTCTGGGCAGTGGTAGCACACTCCTTTAATTCCAGCACTCAGGAGACAGAGACAGGCAGATCTCTGCCAATCTGGTCAACAAGAGCTAGTTCCAGTTACAAAGTTACAGAGAAACCCTGTCTCGGGGGGGAAATATAAATATAAACATTATACACACACACACACACACACACACATATATATATAAATGATTATCCATATAATCATTTCTCGGCTTTTCTTTGTATAAATTGATATTTAAATTTTATTCTATTCTCTGTTGAAAATGTCTTTTCACTAGATAAACTTAGTATGTCTTTAGTTATTGGCTAGGACACTTAATCTGTTTTGCTATTTGTAGCTAGGACCATTATTTTTAACGTTTGAATCTTAACATTAGGTATGGTAAACCGTGAAGTACTGGAACAAGTGGAGCGAGGGTACAGGATGCCTTGCCCTCAGGGCTGTCCAGAATCCCTCCATGACTTGATGAATCTTTGTTGGAAGAAGGACCCTGATGAGAGACCAACATTTGAATATATTCAGTCCTTCTTGGAAGATTACTTCACTGCTACAGAGCCACAATACCAACCAGGAGAAAATTTATAATCCAAGTAGCCTGTGTGTGCAGATCTTCCAAAACATAAAGACCTTTGGGAGTTTGTCACGCACGGGAATGAGAAGATACTTTTCACTCTGCATGTTTCTATGGTAAACTGGAATTCCAGATAATGGTTGCACAAAGCAGTTTTTCCCCCTAAGTGTTAAACTCTAAAGTACCAATGATATATCTTATAACTTACTTCATGGTCCAAAGAGCGTCAAGCTAAGATATTGTGACTATGTTGGTGATAGCATGGTAAGAAAGAGCAACAAGACTACTGTTTACTAGTCACTTCCTTTCCTTCCCAAAACTCAGAGAAAACTATTTATTGAAATGGACAAAATTTGAGCTATTATACCATAGTAAAATTTAAAATCAAAAAACTCTATGGGACCAAATAATTCCATTCCAGTCTTTTAAAAAAAATCTCTCGCATTTTTTTTTCAAAAGTTAGGTTTTTGTTTCATTTTGTTTTTCTATTTGACAGTTGCCATGCAGTCTTAACACAGATCTCCTTTTGTGTGGAATGGGCCGAGTCTTCCAGAAGCAAAAAGGAGATTATAAACAACATCAAACACTTGATTTAATGGTAGACCACAGCAATGGAATTTGGAAGCATAATACCCTATGTTCACACTTAGTTCATAGAACTGGAAAGTAGAGACAGCTTTTTTACTTTCGTCATTTTGAATTGTTCATAATGAAAGTACCCAGAATGTGAGCTTGTCATTTGCAAGGTTGTACTGATTGTCTTAAGGCAATGTACAATTGAAATTATATCCAGTTCCAGAGAAAATTCTTAATATTTACATAGCATAAAAATAAAAGCCCAGGGGGCTGGAGAGATGGCTCAGTGGTTAAGAGCATTGCCTGCTCTTCCAAAGGTCCTGAGTTCAATTCCCAGCAACCACATGGTGGCTCACAACCATCTGGAATGAGGTCTGGTGCCCTCTTCTGGCCTGCAGGCATACACACAGACAGAATATTGTATACATAATAAATAAATATTTAAAAAAATAAAATAAAATAAAAGCCCAGCATTTAAGCAGTCCATTTTAAAAAAATAGATGGAGCACTGTGAAGCATTGTTAAGTGTGCTTTTATGGTGATTGACTCCACACATAAAAAACATCACTAGATCAGGGACTTGAATGCACTTTGCTTGTATTAAGTATAGAATAGGAGAGAGGAAAATGTATTTAAATAAGTATGAGAGAAGAAAATGTGAAAATTTTACAGATACTGGGGTGGGATGGAGTGTTTAATGTTGGCGTTGTGGAGTGACATCATGGCTTTGCTGGCACTCAGAGCTCCTCATTAGCTGTTTCTGAGACTTTAAAAGTTATCAAGTATGACTGTAAAACTAATTTTTCTTAACATATATACTAAATAAGTTTTACGGCCTCAAAATAGTGAAGATAAAGCTTAACACTAATTTCAGTGACGCTATTTTATACAGAACCTTTTTAGAACTCCAATTTTCAAATTTCTGAAACTTCACTTACATTTCCAATATACTTGATGATTATAGTTTCCTTTCATAATATATTCAATTTGAGGAAGAATACATATCCTGAGTAATAATAATTTAAAGAGGGGATTTTTGCCAGTTTAAAGTACAGAAGTAAAACTTTAAAAATGAGTTTTTCTAACTCAAATTATGAAGTATTAATTTGAATTGAGTAGTGCTAATGGTTTAAAGGTCTAGCAAGGAAAAAACTGAGTCTGCTAAATAAATTAAAAGTTGAATATTAATGTTTTTTAAATACTGTGTTTTATAGTTACACTTTAAAGCATTGTATCAAGTTCTTCTATTTTCAGCATATAATTTTAAACTTCTATCATTTTAATCACTAAATTTAAAGTTCTGTGCCATGGTAAATTATGTTCAAATTTAACTTTTTAAATGTGACAAGTGAACTTTATGCAAGTTGGCAAAAAGTTCTGGTACTAAAAGTTCTATTTTTTTTTCCAATTAACCTATTCAGAGGATCTCCTGAGAAGAATGTAGTCCTTATTTGCCCTGATGTCTGCAGTTTGTGTCATGAGTGTTTTAAAGGGCTTCATGTGATCTGTGGTATTGTAGTTTTTCTAAGCAGTCTTCAAAGGGTAAATATGTTTATGTACTAATTCTGGTCAGAAAAATAAGGCAGGAAAAGTTGATGGCATTCTTTAGATTTTAAATGAATTGAATGAGGCAGTTCTTACAATAACACTTGTAAGAATACAACATTAACTTAATGTGTATTCAGTTTAAATTGTTACGTATTTTTAAATTGTCACAAAAAGAAACAGTTTTGTACATTTGGAAGATTTTTTTACCAACAGTTTTCATCTTTATTGTCTAAACTTGGAACTTTAACCCTTACCAAAAAAGAAAAGTTGGCAAAAACAGCCTTCTAGCACAGCTTTTTAAAATAAATAATGATAACCTAAGACTTAATATTTTTATAAAATGTTGTGATATTGTTTTGTGGATAATTGAAATAAAAATCTTTGTTGTATGCATCTATATATCTTTTCAGTTGCTCATTAACTTGATTATTCTGAATTTATTCTTCCATTGGAAAAATGTTGTTAGAAATTGTACATCCCAACCAACTAGAGTTAACATCAGTTCTTTCTTTCTTAAGTTCAGAACACTATTGAATTTATTTCACACGATTAATTTTCTGTGTATAGTAATGACATTTTCTAAAATTGTATCCGCAAATACAGCCACTGTGTCACATAGAGAAACCTGGGTGATTTAAGGGAAGGTATTTCCAACTATGCAGGAGTTAAATAGGATAGACGCTTTGTACAAAAGTCTCTGTGTTCTACAAACCTCTTTTCACAGGTTTAAGGAAAATAAAAATTTAAATGCCTGCTCAAAAGCTTTTGTGATTTTCAGTATTATAATTGTATTAACTATTTTTTACTACTACTTCATATAAAATTGTTGCCCCCTTTCATGATTTCAAAAAAAAAAAAGAAAACCCAAATAGCAATCAGTACAATGCTTCCTTCAATTCATTGTTGATGTTGTTTATTAATAATTCCTTAGAATGTTTTTCCAGCTGGGCATGTTGTACATGCTTCTAATCTCAGCATTTGGGAAACAGAGGAAGGCAAATCTCTTATTTCCAGGCCCAAACTGTATAGGTAGACAGTTCCAGATCAACCAGGGTTACACAGCTTACTTTTTTTTTCTAGTTTCACAATTGACTTTTAGTGTTATATGTGCTTGATTAACATTTAAATTGTACATTTGTACTTTGCCAAGTATTTCTTTTTATGCTTAGAAAGCATTCTTCTGCCCCAATATTAAAAATTCATGCCACCTATTTTATAGTTTTTGCTTTTTAAAAATATTTTGATTTATTTAGAAAGCTATTGGAATATGAAACATGACTTTATAGTATATTATCTCTTATTTTTCTTTGGGTTCCCAACACAGTGAAAACTCAAATCAGTCTTATGTGGGGGCAAAACTTAACTTGGGTCTCATTGGTGTTGCTATGTATTGGTATTGGAAGATGATTGTCATCTCACTGTAATTCCTCTGTTCTCAGGATGTCATTGCAGAGCTTCTGAAGGCCATTGTATTAGGGTTCTCTCGATAACAAAACTTATAGAATGAATCTCTATATATATCAAGAAGGGATTTATTATAATGATTTTTAAGCTGTGGTCCAGCTATTCCAACAATGACTGACTATGAAAGGAAAGTTCAAAAATAGTAGTTGCTCAGTCCATGACGCTGGTTATCTCATCTGGTCTTCAGTATACCCTGGAAGCCCAAAGTCATTGGCTCTAATGCCATTGAAGGAATGGACTTGCTCGCGAGGTACAAACAGGCAGCTTCCTTCTTCCATGTCCTTAATTGGCTTCCAGAAGAAAGTGTGACCCAGATTATATCTGGACTAAAGGTATGTCTTTCCACCTCAAGATCCATATTAAATCATATCTCTTCTCAGCTCAAAAGACCTGGGTTAAAGGCATATTTTCCTGCTTCAAAGATCCAGAGTAAATATAGTCAAGTTGACAGTATAGTCACTACTTCCTTTCTTAAATCTGTTCTTCTGAGCCATTGTGCCAATGGTGGTTTTGTTTTTGCACTTTTTCTGTTGTGGTGTGGGAAGCCCTTCTGTATATGTGTTGCTTTTATTGGTTAGTGAAAAAAGAAACTGCCTTGGCCTGTGATAGGGCAGAGTAGAGCTAAGTGGAGAAAACTAAACTGAATGCTGGGTAAAAGAAGGCAGAGTCACAGGACACCAGCTGGAACCTTGCAGGTAGGCCACAAGCATCATGGTAAAATAGAAAATAATAGTGATATAAGAGCTAGCTAGCAATACACTTAAGTGATTGGCCAAGCAGTGATTTAAATAATAAGAGTTTCTGAGTGGTTATTTCGAGTCTGGGTATCTGGGAAAAAACAAGCAGCCTTCTTCAACACTTGTTTAAACCACGGCTGCTTAAACTTTCCATTTGTGATCCCATTTTTTGCAAGAAATTTATATAACTGGATAAATAGATAATAAAAATAATACTGATGAAGTCATAAATTTATTTTAAGGTAATTCTTCAGTATATCTTTACCATTTATTACAGTTAAAGGTAAATGTATATACTAGTGAGATGGATGTGTCTTTATTTGGGGTTTTTCCATTTGAATGCAAGGTCTTTTGTTTTTTTTTTTGTTGTTTTTTCTCATTATTATTATTATTATTATTATTAAAAATTTCCACCTCCTCCCCCCTCCCAAATCCCTCCACCTCCCCTACCCCTGCACCGCCATCCTCCTCCCTCTCCAGTTCCAAAGAGCAGTCAGGGTTCCCTGCCCTTTGGGAAGTCCAAGGTCCTCCCCCTCCATCCAGGTCTAGGAAGGTGAGCATCCAAAAAGACCAGGCTCCCACAAAGCCAGTATATGCAGTAGGATCAAAACCCAGTGCCATTGTCCTTGGCTTTTCAGTCAGCTCTCTTTGTCCAACATGTTCAGAGAGTCTGGTTTGATCACATGTTCCATCAGACCCAGTTCAGCTGGACTTGGTAAGGTCCCATTAGATCAGCCCCACCGTCTCAGTGGATGGGTGAACCCTCGCGGTCCTGACTTCCTTGCTCATGTTCTCCCTCCTCCTGCTCCGCATTTGGACCTCTGAAGCTTAGTCCAGTGCTACAATGTGGGTCTCTCTATCTCCATCCATTGCCAGATGAAGATTCTATGGTGATATGCAAGATATTCATCAGTTTGGCTATAGGGTAGGGCTATTTCAGGCTCCCTCTCCTCAGCTGCCCAAGGAACTAGCAGGGGACATCTCCTTGGACTCCTGAGAAACCCTCTAGAGTCAAGTCTCTTGCCAACCCTAAAATGGCTCCCTTAATTAAGACATATACTTCCTTGCTCCTATATCCACCCTTCCTCCATCCCAGCCCTCCCATTCCCCCAAGCTCTTCCCATCCTCCCCTTCTCACTCTTCTCACCCCATGTCCCCTTACCCCCCATCCCCACCCCCAAGTTCCCAATTTTTGCCTGGCAATCTTGTCTCCTTCCAATATCCAGGAGGATAACTGTATTTTCTTTGGGTTCACCTTCTTATTTAGCTTTTCTAGGATCATGAAATAGAGGCTTAATGTCCTTTATTTATGGCTAGAATCACTTATGAGTGAGTACATCCCATGTTCATCTTTATGGGTCTGGGTTCCCTCAGTCAGGATAGTGTTTTCTATTTCCATCATTTGCATGCAAAATTCAAGATGTCATTGTTTTTTTTACCACTGAGTAATATTCCAGCGCGTAATTTTTCCACATTTTCTTTATCCATTCTTCCATTGAGGGGCAACTAAGTTGTTTCCAGGTTCTGACTATTACAAATAATGCTTCTATGAACATAGTTGAACAAATGCTTTTGTCATATGATATGGCATCTCTTGGGAATATTCCCAAGAGTGATATTG